TAAACACTTGAATTTGTTTGGCATAATATTATGTGAATATCGTGTTATGTGTATGTGTTTATAGGTGATGTGGATTGAGAACTTGTGGAGTTATCAGTGTAAGGTATCCAAGTTCTATGTTTATGGTTAGGTTGGATTTATATGGAATCCAACAATGAATGAAAGTTGTGATGATAATGATATCTAATGAATGATAAGAAATGTTCTAAGGTAGCCGTTCCCCCAAGTAATCACCTGAGCTGAACGGAGCGGGATCTCCTTCCGCGGGGAGTCCCGAGATTACTTCTGATGGCTGTGGGCTAGCTACCCAAGGTCATTAACGAGGGGCCAGGACACGAACTACGGACCCATCAAGTCAAGTAGCAAGATAGGAAGAAAGAATGTTGAATGAGGAAATCTTTTAGATTTCGTTACGTGAAGTTGTGCTTTACATGATATGAATATGTGTGTGAATATGCTATGTGTGGAGTATTCTAGCTTATGTATCTAATTATGGCTAGCTAAGACTCCGTTATTTTAGTGGATGTAATGGTGACTTACTAAGCAAATTTTGCTAACGAGACTTCTATTTTCTCGTATGCTCATGTATAGGTAATGAATGAGGTACGGAAGCCTGAGAGAATGTATGGAGCCGGTGACAAGGTTTTGGATGGGTTAACGGAGAAGATCGGGCTATCAGTTATGTTGTGGTTTTAGTACGTTGGTACTTCAAAGGGTTGTTAAACGTTTTTAAAATCCTGATAAGGTGTAATGGTTTTACAAATGTTTTATTTTGGATGCGTTTCATTATGGTTGTAAGGTTTGATTTGTTCTAAAAGAAATAAAGTCTTATATCGAGGCTTTGTATCTTTATTTTCGCTTGATTTATCGAGTCTCTTTTATGATTGAGTAGCGTAATGGCCATTTTGGGGACCGTCGTTACACACATACTCCCACTACCACGAACAACACCCCGGGGATGTACATCATCATGCACAAGGAACACCCCGGGGACGTATGACCTCAAGCACATGGACCACCCGGGGACGTACGGCCTCCAGCACATAGGAAAGCCCCGGGAATGTACGACCTCCAGCACTACGTCAGCCAGACGTACGTGTCCAAGGACTTCGCCTGCCACAGCCAGACGTACGTCCCCAAGGACTTCGTCTACCACAGCCAGACGTACGTCTCCAAAGACTTCGTCTCCCACAGCCAGACGTACGTCTCCAAGGACTCCGTCTGCCACGACCAGACGTACGTCTCCAGGGACTCCGTCTGCCACGGCCAGACGTACGTCTCCAGGGACTCCGTCTGCATGACCAGATGTACATCTCCAAGGACTTCGTCTGCCACAGTCAGACGTACGTCTCCAAGGACTTCGTCTGCCACACCTCCGTCAGCCAGACGTACGTCTCCAAGGACTTACATACTTAGCTCATGTATCTGAATGTAATCAGCCCAATAGAGGCCTTATATTGTAATGGGTCTCCCAAGCCCAAGACTTGAGAGTCCAGCCCACTTTTCCCTATAAATACTCCCCTTGGGAGTAGCTGTAAGGATTCGAAATTCATCTAATACAAATCACTTCTCTCTCTAGCTCTCACTTCTCTCTAAGAGTTAATACTCTGTCAATAAGTATAAATAATCGTGGAGTTGATTTTTTTTAGATATTAAATCATCAATAATATATATATATATATATATATATATATATATATATATATATATATATATTAATCATACTGTGTTTCATAAACGGACCTAGTCGTGCTATTACTTAAGAGGACATGAACCTGTATTTTTTCGTTCCATTTATGTATATATGTGGATTATAATATATTTTTACTGTAATATATATTTAAATAATAGATTACGAAAAATTGCACAAAAGTGATAATAATAATAATAATAGATGCATCAAATATCTTCATTTTTAAAGGGCAATTGTACATACCTCCAAGCTACCTTACCTCATTTAGCTGGATCAATTAGAAATGATAAATAGTTCGACAGTTTCATCATAAATAAATGGTAAATAATAATAATATGGATTGCGATGAAGTATATAGCCAAGGGACCCCCGGCCCACATACTCTTATTACTCTAACAAAGGCCCAACAGGTCCGGGAAGCACAGCAGGCCCAAATCACAGCACCCAAGTAACAGGATGCCCACGCGGCCCATGCAGCCGCCTTCGGCATCGTGAAGTCCGCCGCCGCCGCCGCCATCGCGAAATCCTTCGTCGCTGCTGTCAGAGATGGTATTCATCTTCCCCATGCTCCGTTTCTTCTTATTGTTACAAAATGCCAAGTTAAACTCTAAAAATGCCATCAAAATGGCATTCTTTGTCTTAAAAAAATTTGTATTTTCCTTTGCAAATGCCATTGATATGGCATTCTGATAAAAAATTTGGCATTCACTCCGGAAACGACTAGATCTGGAACTGAGGAGGTCAGATTTGCAACAGTAGATGCTGGATACGGTGCGACGGTGGCTAGATCTGCAAGGGCAGCCTCCGACGGCCGACGGTGTCCAGATCTCTGGCGACGCTAGCCAGATCTGCATCCGCAGTGTCCAGATCTACAACGGCGGCGTCCAGATCTACAACGGCGGCGTCCAGATCTACAACGGCGGCCTGTTTTTGAGGCGACAGAGATGTCCGACGACCGGCGGTGAGTGGCGGCGACCGGCGAAAGGCAGTTGTCCTGTGTTCTGGTCTCAGCAGTATCACTTCCAAGCATCAAGGGCGTTTTTGTCCAATTACATATTATTACTCCTATTTAGGAATTTTTTAGGCTTTAGTCCTATTTTGGCAATTAAAAATTGATTTACTCCTATTTAGGTAAATACCTCTAGATATATTTATCTAGTAGATTAAAAAAAAGATAAATATAGTAGAGTTAACTAAATGCATTGTTTTTCACGGTTTTCCCTAAATATGACCAAATTGAAGCCAATTTATGAAAAAGTTTCTACTTTTACATATGAATAAAAGTGTGACTAACAAGGTCATATATTTAGGAAAACATAATGTCACTCGTGGTTAGATTCTTATGTTACTAATAGATGTCATTGTCAGATTTTTCATGTCACCTCTGATGTCACTAATATTATGAAACATGTTACTTTAAAAACCAACAAAATTAGAGTTTTTTCTCGCGAATTTCGGAAAGAAAAAAAATGAAGAAAAAATCATCAACATTTTCCGTCGAAAAGGTTACTAATAGATGTCATTGTTGCCAAAAAAGGTTATTTATAAATTACTGTGAAGAAATTGAATTAATTAAACAAAAAGTTAGTCAGTATTTGAAAAAGGATAATTCGCCACTTTTGTATTTCACAAAGTTATAGGTATATTTGTTTCCTTTTTTGGAGCTAATTATCAATAATAATGACTCCCTCGTTTCGCAAAATTTATGACGATCACATTGACATCTATTAGTGATATGAAAATTTGACAGTGACACACATTAGTGACATGAAAATCTGACAGTGACATATTTTTTCAAATCTACTAACATGTTAGACACATTTTATCCATATGTAAAAGTAGTCACTTTTTTGGAAGGAGGCTTCATTCAATGTAATCATATTCAAGGAAAATACATTTTGCTTTCATGCTCCACATGCAACTATGAAGTCAATTTAGGCCAAATTATACTGAAAAGTATAAGTTATTATCATTGTACTTGCTACTACTTAGTACACTATTTGTAGACAGATACATCGCGCTTGAATATATATATATATATATATATATATATATATATATACACACACACACACACACACACATACACACACACACATATATACACACACACACATACATACACACACACACATATATATACATATATACACATATATATAGATCTATCTATCTATCTATCTATCTATCTATCTATCTATATTTAAAATATAAAGTAAAGTGTTATGTAATATATATATATATATATATATATATATATATATATATATATATATATATATATATATATATATTACATAACACTTTACTTTATATTTTAAATATAGATCATCTTATTTTTCTAACATTATTATGATATATCTCTTAATTAATTTTGCATGTGCATATTTCTAATGTTTTTCTAATAATTTTAGTTTTATTTATTTTCTTTATCTTCATTTGCTAATTTTTTGTTTATAACATACAACTATTAATTGGAGTTGTACTTAATTGTAGTTATTAGCTATTGAATAATTAAATAATGCTTCAATAATTATGACTACAAGTTCTCACTTTTTTACTCCAAATATATTAATTTCACCATACTATATATCTTTTAATAATTCTAAAATTTTAGGAAATATCTTTAAATGGTATTTTGGAAGCAATATTTTTTAAGATCTAGTAAGAATTTAGATACTTAATGTTTAGGGTTAGGGTTTAGGGTTTGTGATCTAGCACATGTTGATTCAATTATATGAGTAAAACATTTGAAATTCGATGATAAGTAATTATCGTAATGTTTGAAAAGTATTGTTATGATTTAAACTTGATAATATCAAATATGATAATGATTACTGTTGCAGTATTGCTTAGATGATAAAAATATACTTCCTCCATCTCGAAATGAAGTTCCCGATTTTATCCTAACACATATTTATGTAGGATATAGTTTTATTTTGACTTTTCACGTATATTCTTACTTTGTCAAATCAAGCCAAAAACAGATAAAAAAGTAAAAGTAATTGAGACTTTATGCTTGAAAGTGGTTTTCTTTAATAGAAATGAAAACTTTTTTCTGGGACATCAATAAAAGGAAAGGGAGAATTTGTTTTCGGGAAGGAGCAATAGTATTCTTATTTTAGAATTGGAGTATGCTTTTCTCTTATTTTTACCTTAATTTCTTTTTTAAACATGCCATGTAAGCGGATAATGGCAGCCGGCAAGTTGGAATCAAATTTGACAACCGCGTTGACGATTGACTCTTTAATACCCCAGTCAACGGCGCGTTTGGTCGTCTCCGTCAGCTCTCTTGCCAGGAAGATGACTTCCCCTGACCCCTCCTCATCAACATATATAAAAGCTAGCAAGCAAGTCTTTGTACAGGAATACATTATCGGTCATCCCTTCGTAGACGCTTACATTATTTTTTATATCCGACTGAACAAGTGACATCATCATGGTTGCCGGCGGTGAGTTTCAGGCTGTGCGAACACACGGTGGCAGATACGTTAAGCATAATATCTACGGCCAGCTGTTCGAAATCACTACAAAGTACATCTCTCCCATTACCCCTATTGGCCGCGGCGCTTACGGAATTGTCTGGTACTTCATCCTTAATCACCTCTTAATTTGTAGTAGTAAAACCGTAAATGTCAATTTTGTATGTTTTTAATTGAATTGAAAATTGCTAGTTTAAGTTTTGTCTATTCTGGTGAAACTGAAAACAGTGAGGCGGAACCAGAGTACTGAGCCCGTACAAATAATATTTTTAGAAAAAATTACACGAAATTTTTTAAATTTAAGATGAAAGTGTTAGCTCTAACTCCTCTAAGATGAAATATGTCAAAATGTTTTTCCTTTGAACTGATTTCCTTTTTCATTTATGGACATGGTTGAAGTTCGGTGTTGAATGCGGAAACAAAGGAAAAAGTTGCAATTAAGAAGATTGCTGATGCTTTCGACAACTACATGGATGCTAAACGAACTCTCCGCGAGATTAAGCTTCTTCGCCATTTAGATCACGAAAATGTGAGTAGTAGTAATGCAAATGTGATCTTAGAGTTGAAAAAGTATAACAGACAAACCAACATATAAAGTAATGGATCATGTGTTTCCCTAGAACTAATCAAAAGTTTTTCATTCAGGTAATAGCTCTAAGAGATGTCATTCCTCCACCATTAAGAAGGGAATTCAATGATGTCTATATTGCCATGGAGCTTATGGAGACAGATCTTCACCAGATAATCCGATCCAATCAAAGTTTATCGGAAGAGCATTGTCAGGTAACAACACTTCACTTTGTTCTTATGTTTGGATGCAATTTTTTAAAAATAGGAAGCAAAACAATCTTATGTGTTGGTGCAATTGCAGTATTTCTTGTATCAGATCCTTCGCGGGCTAAAGTACATACATTCAGCAAATGTTATTCATCGAGACTTGAAGCCAAGCAACCTCTTGCTAAATTCAAATTGTGATCTTAAGATATGTGACTTTGGTCTTGCCCGGACGAACTTTGATAACGAATTCATGACTGAGTATGTTGTTACCAGATGGTACCGGGCACCTGAGCTTCTTTTGAACACTTCAGATTACACTGCTGCTATTGATGTGTGGTCTGTTGGTTGCATCTTCATGGAGATGATCAACAGACAACCATTGTTTCAAGGGAAAGATCACGTCAATCAAATGAACTTAATTGTTGGGGTAAGATTTTTGGAGAGGAAACCCTTAAATTGAGTTATAAGCTTTGGTTGGAGTCTGGAAATTCTTGTTTTGTAAACAGGGAAGGGGAATGAATATGGGCTTGCATTAGTATTATATATTTTCATTTTTCGACCGAACTTTTACACATTTTATTGTGGACTTTGGTTGAGCTACAACAGTTATGCATGATGCATCTACCTGTACCTTGTATCCAAAACTAACTGGCTTATGCATTTTTATTGATAGCTTCTCGGAACTCCTTGTGATTCTGATCTTGGATATTTTCGGAACGAAAATTCAAGAAGGTGCATCAGGCAACTTCCCCGTCATCCACCCCAGAAGCTAGCAAAAGTTTTTCCACATATGAACCCTTTAGCCATTGATATTGTGGAAAAAATGCTGACATTTAACCCCTCCAAAAGAATATCAGGTCAGTTCATTCTTACAATATGCTGAAATTTAGTTTTTTATCATTATTTTCCGTTCTATCAGCCAAATATAGGAATTTAAAATGTGGTCCTGAGAAGGGACTGAAGTCATGGGATCAAAAATCATATTTTCCCCTATTTTGTAATGGCAAAAATTCCGAATCAAGAGTAAAAACGTTTTGAAATTTTAAAATATGAGTATTATGTTTTTATGCCCTAAATAGAAATAATTACTGTCAAACATGTGGAAAGTAATGCCATGTTTAAATTCTAGTAATGCCAATGGTGATTTTATTTTTGTAATCCCTTCTTGAGTTTCAAACTTCACTTGATTTCACTGTCGACCGTGGTCTGTTACTCATTGCATTTGAAAGTGGTTTTGCTGGTTGTAACAAGAACACACTTGTAAACTCTACTTAATATTATTATAAATTACAAATTCTATTGTTTCAAAAAGCTCATACCTCCTAATAAACTCACATATGTTCTGTCCTCCTTTGCAGTTGAGGAAGCATTAGCCCATCCCTACCTTTCGCAGTTCCATGACGTGTCGGATGAACCGTACTGCCCGGTTCCGTTTACGGATTTTGAGCAAGAAGCATGCGGAGAAGAGCAGATCAAAGACATGATTTATCAGGAAGCATTGGCAATGAATCCAGAATATGCATAAGTTCATACGAAGGCTATGGCTCTGAACATCTCTTTTCTGGCCTCCAACCACCGCTCATCCACGAAGAGCAGTAGTTATGTGTCATGATCTTGTGACCCAATTTTTTTATATTCTTTTATATATTGGTGCTGTGTTATTTAACTTATAACCAGTTTAACCATTAAATGTGTTCCTAGATTTTAGTAGTGCTTTTTGGAGTGGCCATACCGAATGTACTCCGTAGTCAAGTTCGACGGCTTGACAGAATTGCTGGAACTTACTGTACTCCGTTCTTAAATAAATGTAACGGTCAACATTTCACACTTGCCGAGACACAACTTTGACCATTAATATAAATGATTTGGTCTTAGTAAAAAAATTAAAAAAATTAGATTATGAAAATTTACAATGAGACAAGTTTAACAATATTTTTTCATAAAATAATATTATTACATTAATAAATAAAATGTAGTATAAGTAGAACATGTGAATAGTGTAAAAGTCAAAATGTTGCATTTATTTAAGAACGGATGTAGTATTTATTAAAAATATAACAAGTTTCAAAATACTACATATATACTATCGTATGTACTATTGTAATAATAGTATTAGGTACTACCTCCGTCTCGGTGGACTTTGTTTAAGTGCAAAGTAGGTTAGTAATAAGATCAGTAAAAATTATGTGGTTGAAATTTGTGCAAATGAGAGAGAAATTTACAGAGCCACAAATTAGTTGCTTAAATAGGAAAGTGCACAGTTTTTTGAGACAAAAAAAAATGGAAAGTTGACAAAGTCCAATGGAACAGAGAGAGTGTTTGTTTACTTCCTCCGTTCTTAAATAAATGCATAACTTTCCTTTTTTGACAGTTTCAAATTAAATGCAACCTTTCTATTTTGAGAAAGAAATATTAGCCAAACTAACTGTTATACCCTTTATTATTTACCGTCTTCATCTTTAATTTCTGATATTATCTTTAAGGAAAGTTCTACGGTGCACCCGTTAACTTGATTGTATCGTATGCGGACCAATAATATTGTAGCACATGGAAATAATTAAAATATATATGAATTTTAATGTCCATGTGACATTTTTTTATTTGCTTACGTAAAAAAATGTACCGTACATGCGAAATTTAGAAATATTTAGAGATGCACATAGAATTTTCCTATCTTTGATTTATCCACCCACCATCACCAACCAATTCCATTCATCTTTACAACCCCTCCAGATCTCCGATTCTTCTCATCGAGCCTCGGCCGTTCTCCATTTCTTCCCCATCATATACCTCATTTATTTTTATTTTCTCGTATCTGTATTTTAACTATCGCCGAAACGGAAGGACATGGATGGGGATGAAACTGATTTTTCTCCGGCTACTCTCCCACGAGATACTACCTCTGCTTTGGTGGATTTTTTTCGGATCTGGTGGCCAGAGCAATTTGGGGAGAAGGGATATGCTGAAAGAGGTAATTTACTTGGTACTTCTTAATCTATACATGGCTGGTTTACTGTGTGTGATTTGTGTATATATGGGTCTTAATGTTTATATAGCTTTGCTTTATTGGTTGTAATTTGTAAGTATTAAGAAAGGGAGAACTATCAAATAAGCCCTTGAACTTCCATAAAATGGGTAAATAAGGCCTTTTATAGAAGGCTCTGTCCGGCTGTCGCCATTTAGGCGGTTTCCGGTGGAATTTTTTGATAAACTTTTTGGAGTATCTTCTTCGTTAAGTCTAGTTTATTCATACCAAATTTTAGCTAAAAATTCAATCGGGAAGGCAGTCAAATAAATTTTTGTGAAGTTAAGATAGGCACTTAGGAATTAAGATAGTAATGGGAGCACACGATTTAAATTCTCCAATATGGAGTTTCTTCCACTATACAAAAGAATAGTAGAATTACAAGGATGTTAAGAAATTGTCTCACTCAATGATGGCTCACTCAAGCTTGAGGATGATGTCTTCTCAAGCTATTTCTTTTCTATCTCAAAGAAGCTCTCTAAATTTCTTACTCTAAGAAGTGGATTCACTCTTGCTAGGATGGTTAGGAATAGAGGCTCCTACTCCTATTTATACTACTCTATCTCCATAATGAATGGTGAAGAGTAGTTCTCTAGAATGCTCTACACATGCCTACATATTCTAGAGAACTCCAAAGAATCTATACACCTCTTCATTCCCTTCCATATGCTTCCATACTCTTCCATAAGATCCAGAAGGTTCCACTCATCTGTAGAATATTCTAGACGATTCCACACTATTCCGCAAGCTTCTAAAGAGTTCTAGACTTCTCTAGAATTCTCCGAAACGTTCTAGAAAATTCTATATTTCTCTATAAAGCTCTAGAATTTTCTAGAACCTCTCTAATTAAGGAGGGATCCCAACAAATCTCCCCCTCCCGACTTAATTGGGGGTAGTAGCAAACATGCACATTGACAGCAATCTTCGAGCTTCTTTGTTGGTATTACCTTGGTCATCATGTCTGAGCAGTTCTCGTCCGTGTAGACCTTGTCAAGATGCAATTTCTTTTCCTTGAAAAATTCTCGGCAATATCTTTACCATGGGAGAGAATATCTCTTCAATTTGCGTACCTTTTTCTTGTGTTAATCTTTTGACCCACCGAGCTTTGTAGCGAGACTTTGACTACTATCTTTGGTCTTGAATTGATCTGATACACCCACTTATTCTTCAAGACTCTTTTCCACTCCTCTTTATGAATATCATTAATTGCTTCGTTATAGCTTTGCGGCTTCCCCTCATCCGTGAGCATGACGTATTCTTCCGTCCTTTACTGAGTGGATGATCTTCTCTTCCTTAAGGATCGCCTCGGATCTGGTGCTGACAGAGAACTAGATCGAGGATCTTCCTGATTTGATTCATCATGAGTCTTCTGCTTGTTTTGTTCTAACACGGGCTCATGGTCTTCAAAATCATTGTCTTTGCGGCGGCAGAACATGACGGAGAACCAGCGGCGGTGGCTGAACTTGACGGAGAACCGGCGGCGGCGGCTGAACTTGACGGAGAACCGGCGGCGGCGACTGAACTTGACGGAGAACCGGCGGCGGCGGCTGAATTTGATGGAGAACCGGCGCCGGCGGCCATGGATGAAGTCCCTAAGCTTGGTATGAGTTTGTGTTGTTGATTTCATTGGCTTTCAACTTAAATATATATTTGTTCTTCACAGATAATTCTCTGTATTTGTGTAGTGTATAATATCGTTTGTGTGTTTGTGAAGTGTATATAATCTTGTTTGTGTTCAAAATGTTATAAAATTTACTTATGTCTGTGTGTAAATAAACTTATATTTGAAATGTCTGTGTGTAAATATACTTGTGTCTGTGGGTATATGTACTTATGTCTGTGCGTAAATCTACCACTGTCTCAGCGTAAATGTATTTATATTTGAAATGCGTAAATTTACTTATGTGTTCTAAGTTTGTTTTACATTGTAAAGATTCACATTTAAGTTGAATTTGTGTTCAACTATTCTATTTCATTATTATGCTCATAAGGTGTTTGTTGAAATGCTTCAATGATCTTCTTTATTCATATTCACGATTTTGTGAGTTGATTCTCCCTTTTTGCTAATATGTTTTTATGCTTGATGGAGTTTACTAATTTTTACACTTTAAATTGGGTTGTCAATGAATTTAAATGGTCTTGATAGGTTTTTTAGAAGCATGGATCAAGATACTGAGTGTGGTCAATGCTTTGATGAGTTAATGCTTAAGTTTTAATCTTCGTAACACATTGTTCTTTTTTCATGCTTAAAATGATGTGTGTGCAATAAGCAGCAGGGTTGTGTGCAAAAAGTGCAGTTAGCAGCCTTGCAGGATGGGAAGACAGAGCTCTTGGCTGCAGGGCACTTCTTGCTTGCGGCAGTAGGAAAGAAAACACTCAACAGGAGAAAAATGTACATTTTGGGAGTGAAAAAAATGCTAGGAAAGGAGCTCTTGGCCACAACAAATCGGAAGAAAAAAATCATAGCTTGTTATTATGTTGAATGAATATATTTGAATTATAAATATCCATGTATTACTTGAGTTCCTCCATGGATGAGAATTATGAAAGTTAATATTATTTCTTATGTCTGATTCTCTTTTATGACATTATGAAAACACTAAGTAATGCTTTAATCACGCACATATAATATAAATGAAGACATGGATTATGCTTTGACTAAATAGACAAAAAGTAGTGGTTTAGATTTAAATCTTAGTTTGATGTAAATGTGCATGACAATTTTTAAAATGTTTTTTTCCCTAAAAAAGTCTTATTCAAACTATACAAAAGCAGATACATAGCACAGACATATATGCTACACATCACAGACATAGTGTTTATTCTTCACAGACACACAATGTTTTTGTGACAGATATTATAGTGTACATAGCACAAACAAATACGCAACACCTCACAGACAGAGTTTTTCTGCTTCACAGACACGCAATGTGTTTGTGATAGATATTATAGTGTACTTTAACAATTTTTTAAAATGTTTTTTCTCAAAAAGTCTTTTATTCAAACTAAGTCCTAGCAGATACATAGCACAGACAAATACGGCACACATCACAGATAGAGTGTTTGTTCTTCACAGACACACAATGTGTTTGTGACGGATATTATAGTGTACATAGCACAAACAAATACGCCACACATCACAGACAGAGTTTTTGTTCTTCACAGACACGCAATGTGTTTGTGACAGATATTATAGTGTACATAGCACAGACACAGTGGATACAAATCACAGACAAAAAAGCTTTCTCCGTTTATATGAACACCAATGACAGTTAGTGTTTCTCACACAAACAAAAAGGCATACCAATGTACAACATTGGTAATATTTGGGAGTACATTCTAAGACAGTATACAACATTGTTATTGTAACATTGTACAACATCCTACATTTCACAACCAAACCCATGAAGGTCAAAACTAACCACCACAAAATGTATATAGTAAGGTTACATCAATGATTGTACATCCAAACCCATCATACACTAAACATTCACACTCATTAAAACTTGTCTAAGTTGATCGCTTCCTCAAACTCCAGAGCCTCTTTGCAAATTCACATCTTTTCGCTGCCATGTTCTTATACGCACACTCGGGCATCAAGGGCAACTTCTGCAACAGTGACTCTGCAAATGTTGCCGCCATAACTCCGCAAACATCGGATCTGAAAATAATACAATTCATACAGACATTACATTTCTATATACAGACAAATTGTATTTGTGTACAGACAAAAAACGGGGTCTATTTGATGACCCGAAACAGAAGTGGAAATCTGATACACAATGTGTTCTAATTATTTTTTAAGTAGGGAATTCATTTTTAAATTTTTCTTTCAACAATCCGTATTATTTTAAGGTACCTGAGGTCCAAATTAACCAAGGTATTTTAAGTAATTTCCAAAAGTCCTAGACATTTGTTCATTTGAACCTGTTTGAGTCTTATAGCGTTGTGTAGAAGTACAAACATCATATTAGTCACACAAACATATGTAGAGTGATACAGACAATCATATAAGTCTTCACAGACAAATGGAGCCAGAGCCGATTACGTAAAACCTCACACAGACAAACACTTGGACAAATCTAACTTTACACAGACAATACATATGTCTTTCAACAAGCATAAAATCAACCTTACACAGACAATACATATTGTTCAAAATCCAAGCAATAGATGGGTTCCAACTTGATAACTTGATAAACAATTACTCACCCTCCAAATAAACATCATCAACTACCCTAAAACTGGAAAAAATCCAAAAATACATGATACATACCTTTCGGCCATGCTCGAAAGAGGGGTTCACACCATTTTCGACTGAGATGGGGAGGAGGGTTCACACCTTTGAATGCGCAGCGACGACGGTCGCCTTCAACAGGGGTTGGCAGGGAGGAGGGTTGCCTTCGACGGGGTCTGACGGGGTTGAATCGTGGAGGGTTGCCTTCGATGGGGGTTGCAGGGGAGGAGGCTAGTCTTCGACTGGGGTTGTCTGGGACGAGGCCTTCGATGGGGGGTTGCAGAGGAGAAGGCTATTCGGGTGTTGGCGGTGACGAAGAGCTTCCAGCGATGCGATTAATCGGAAGAACAAAGCAAGGGAGAAGGAGAAGGTTGTGGCGGTTCGAAGGAAGGGAGAAGTTGGGGATGCACGGCAAAATTGGGAGCGGGATGTTTTTTTGAAGTGGTGAGAGGTAAGGGAAAGGGGGGTAAATTATTTTTGTGGGTATTTATAGTGTGTATGTGTGTGTATGGAAAGTGTGTAACAATATCATTTTTGTTTTTAAAATAGATGAGAAGGGACCGAGGTCATGGGATCAAAATTCATGTTTTCCCCTATTTTGTAATGTGAAAATTTTCGAAATAGGAGTAAAAACGTTATGAAATTCCAAAATAGGAGTAGTTTTTATGCCTAAATGTGAATAATTACGTACTGTCAAACTTGTAGAAAGTAATGTCATGTTTAAAGCCTATTAATGCATGGATAATTTCTTATTTGTAATCCCTTCTTGATTTTCAAACTTCCCTTGATTTCACTGTCGACCTTTATCTGTTGCTCATTGCATTTGAAACTGGTTTTGCTGGTTATAACAAGTACAGACTTGTAAACTCTACTTAATAGTATTATTATAAATTACAAATTCTATTGTTTCAAAAAGCACATGCCTCCTAATATACTCACATATGTTCTGTCCTCCTTTGCAGTTGAGGAAGCATTAGCTCATCCCTACCTTTCGGCTTTCGCAGTTCCATGACGTGTCGGATGAACCGTACTGCCCGGTTCCGTTTATGGATTTTGAGCAAGAAGCATGCAGAGAAGAGCAGATTAAAAACATGATTTATCAGGAAGCATTGGCAATGAATCCAGAATATGCATAAGTTCACAAGAAGGCTACGACTCTTAACATCTTTTTTCTTGTCTTCAACTCACCGCTCATCCACAAAGAGCAGTAGTTATATGTGCCATGATCTTGTCACCCAATTCTTTTTATATTCTTTTCATTATATAATTAAAAGAATATACTCGGCATCCAAGTTCGAGCTTGACAGAATTGCTGGAACTTATAGTATTTATTAAAAAATGTATATATTCAAAAGAACAAGTTTCAAAATACTACATATGTACTTGGTACTATTGTAATATTACGTATTTGTTTATTTTTTGAGCGCGTCGTTGGTTATGCAATATTCTATTGTAAAAGTGAGGGTTAACTTTGTTTAACAATTTGGAGATTGATATTTTCTTCATTAAGCATAAAGTTGAGTGTTAATTTTGTACCTTTGACTAACAACTCATTTGGACTGATTTGCATGGGCACCATTCATTTGCGTATCCCCTTTATTGTTTTTTTGGCTCGACTTTCTCTCTTGTTCCGTTAAATGCCAACGTCTTTGACTGGGATGAGTTTCGAACATGTGACCTCCTCCTCGAGAGTATCACAGTGATGTCATCGAACCAGAAAGTGCTTGGCTTGCGTATTCCCTTTATAAAGTGATTAAAATCATATAAAACAATTACTTTCATAGAAATCAATTTTTAATACTACTCTTGCGGTTCCGCCTCCTTAAGATTGGAACAAATGAGTGGTGCGGTTTTTAGAAAAGTATAGTTATAGAGTTGATACACAATTGATAAAATGAGAATAAACCAAGAATGAATTAACTAAATATGATATGAGACAAATTTAGTGAGACTGGCGAAAAAGAAAAAATGAGACAATTATAGAGTTTTAGAGAGACGAGTAATAGATTAGATTTCCCTCCCAAAATGCCAAAACAAATAATTGGCTTGTGTATCCCCTTTATAAAGTGATTAAAACCATAAAAAAACATTACTTTCATAGTTTCATAGAAATCAATTTTTAATACTACTCCTGCGGTTCCGCCTCCCTAAGATTGGAACCAATGAGTGGTGCGATTTTTAGAAAAGTATAGTTATATAGTTGATACACAATTGATAAAATGAGAATAAACTAAGAATGAATTAACTAAATATGATATGAGACAAACTTAGTGAGACCGACGAAAAAGAAAAAATGAGGCAATTATAGACTTTTAGAGAGACGAAGGGAGTAATAGATTAGATTTCCCTCCCAAAATGCCAAAACACATAATTGCTTGAAAAGTCATATATCTATAGGCTACTCGACCTTTTTAATAACAAACTGGATCTTTTGAAAATAACCATTTTCAATCGGAAGATGTAAAAAATGTATAACGGATATGGAGGATTCTAGGAAATATTTTACTCTACTTACTAAAAAAAAGTTCTAAATCTTATTTGTTTGTTTAATTATCAAAAAGCTTTGTATAGAATATTTTTTGCCTGCAACTTCATCATTAGTATTAATTTAGTTAATATTTTATATTGAGCTTCAATTAATATTAATTACGGGTGTAAGAAATTGCTCAAAGTAGAAGTAAAATGTGGACAAAGTTCCAAAACAGGACGAATTATATTTTATTTCCAAAATAAGACTTATAAAACCCTATTAAAACTGTAACACAATTAAAATTTCTCAAAATAGAAGTGAATGATTCCCGCTTTCGGAAGAAAACAATGGCACTTTTCTTTGCGAAAATATTACAATTTCCCCATTCCATTAAGATTATCACATATTAATAATCAAAATTAATAAAACAATGAAAATTTAAAAGAAGAAGAAAACAGATGAACGGCGGAAGAAAGAAAAGCAGGGGTGGAGGAGGAGGAGCTTTGTTAACGTTTTAGTTCTATTCTGAGTAATTTCTTTATATAAAAGTGTTCGACAAATATGTTCTGAAAAAATTATGAATGGTGAATTGAAGATAAAACTAAAACCTTAAACTATTAAAAACAAAAGGGAGAACTATCAAATAAGCCCTTGAACTTTCATAAAAAGTGCAAATAAATCCTTTTATAGGAGTCTCTGTCCGGCCATCGCCATTTAATGCGGTTTCCGATGGTTGTTTTTTGATGAAATTAGTTTAGAATCTTCTTCATTAAGTCTAGTTTATTCATACCAAATTTCAGCTAAAAATTCAATCGAGAAGGCAGTCAAATGAATTTTTGAAGATAACTGCGCAGTCAGACAGCGCAGTATATTTCAGAAAATCATTTGACTGCCTTCTCGATTGAATTTTTATCTGAAATTTGGTATGGGTAAACTAGACTTAATGAAGAAGATTCTCAAAAAAATTCATTAAAAAATTCTACCGGAAACCATCCCAAATTATGACAGCCGGACAAAGTCTCATAAAAAAGGGCTTATTTGCACTTTTTATAAAAGTTCGAGAGCTTATTTGATAGTTCTCCCAAAACAAAAAGTAGAGATAAAGACAACATAGAACAAGTGTAGAAAGTACAAAACAATAAATGAAAGATAAAATGATGAGAATTGATAAAGTAGGAAAAAGAAGAATCAACACTCAACATGTGATCTAAATACAGATAATTGAAAAAAATGCGACTTATGATTTTTAGTGGCTATAATTATGTTCAAATTTACATCATAATTTACACTCAACATTATGTATTCCTATAGTTAAGCATGGATCCAGGTCAGTCTGGTCATGGTCTCTGGTCGAGACCATCCGGTCCCTGCCATATAAAGGTCAAGCCCGAGCCTCACCTTTATAATTCTGATTCTTGGCTGGTTCCGTTTACATGCTCGGTCCGGTCCCGGTTCCACTATTGGTTTTAATGTTTTGCCGAGTTCCAACACTTTTTTACACTTAGGGACTCAAACTGGGACTGACCGGTTCTATCCCAAAATCTTTGAACATGAATCGGGTACCCTATACATTTGGTCAGGTACCCGGTCTTCGCCCAGAACCGGATAAATAGGCCTGGTTCGGTCCCGCACAATGTTGGAGTCGGTTACGGACCAGGCCGGACCGGTTCATGTCTACATATAGTCAAATTAGTCAAATTTTTATCTACAAGTTTTAGTTTTTATAATATTTTAGAAAAAACTCAAAAAATGGGAAACCAAATTAAAATTATCCAAATGAAAAAAGGAACAAATAATAATGTGAAAGGTGTCAAATTAGTCCTCCTACTTTGTACAAAAAGACAATTAAATCACCTAACTTTAAGTTTTGTTAATTACGTCCTTCTACTGTCAAAATTTCATCAAATTTGATTTTTAGCGGTTAATCCGCCGATCAGAAGGTTATCCGCTGACATTGCGTGCACGTGGCCTAACGCAGCGTACATGTGGCAGCCCGTGTCATATTTTTTTCTTTGTCCTTTTATTATAAAATAAGATACGAGATAAATTTAGTGACAAAAAGGGAAAACGAGACAAAATAGTGGCCGAAGAACATTTTGCGTATTTTACATATCGAATTGAATCATGTCAACTTGGAGCTTGGAGTTTGCAATTGAATGGTCTCCATAGAGCTGAAGATAGGATTCTAATGGAATAACTAGCTGGCTGGTATAATCAATAGAAGGCATTCAATTGACCGAGTAGTGAGAAATTGGTTGGTTTGCAATTGAATGGTTTCCATATTAATTAGTTATAATAATTACAGAAGGAATAACTAAGTAGTGAGTTTTGTATTGCGAAGGCAATTAGTTGTATATAACAGTAATACGGAGTATATTACTCCATATTATACTCTCTCCGTCCCTGAAAATTCTTCCCAGCTTGACTTGGCACGGATATTAAGAAAGTGGAAACGTGCGGTTGTAGTTGTGTAAGAAAAAAGTGAAATGAATGTGAACCAGACATATTATCCAAAAATGGTAAGTGGGAAGAATTTTTTGGAAAAACCCAAAAAAGAAAGTGTGAAGAATTTTAGGGACGGATGGAGTACCATTTATACACTGCTCTTCACTAAAAATATCAATAATGGGCATCTAAAAAGTGAAGTGACACTTATGATTTAATTTAATTGTCGCTATGATATCTATGCATGCTAACTATTGTCTCTATTTTGTAGTCCCTGTTTTGAGGGTATAAATTTGTGCCCAAATTCTCCTGTCTGTAGTACCACACCAAAGAAAGACCATCCAAGATACTCTTTCCTCTGCTCTTGGAGAACAAGAACAGAGCATACTACTAGTATTATATTACTAGCTAGCTCCATCATTTCTTGCTAACCATAGAAAATCTGGGAAAGATGGAACAAGCCTTAAGCAAGTCGAGCCGACCGGCCCTGCCAAAAAGAGGATACATCAAGGCAAGGATTCTCACAAGGTTCGTTCATTCAGCCTCTGAGCTGATCTCGTTTTCTGGCGATTTGAAGACGAAGAAGAAGAAGAAGGGTGTCGGGTCTGGTTCACTTAGCCCGGTTTGTTCTCCGGCCCCCACTCGAACCTCCAGCGGGTTATCTTCTACTTTTGATTCAGATGGCTGCAGCTAGCGAGTAATTATATACTCTATGTATATACTCCGTAGTCTGTACACATATGTATATATGATATATCCAGTTTGGGTTCGTTAAGAACCCTTATTTTAGAAATTTAGAATAATAAAAATTGTAAATAATACACTGATATGTAAAGTTTATATATTTGGATGTAAATCAAATGTTAATAAACTGATATATCGAGCATATTTATCGAGCTTATGGAGCGCTCAGTCGAATATCGAAAACTTATCGTGCATAACACAAGCTCCATTTGTAAAGTTCACCGAACTTCGAGCACAAACCTGAACACCATTATTACTGAATCGAGTCGTACTCGAGCTTTCAGTGTTTGAGCTCGGCTCAGCTCATTAACAGCCATAGTTTTCACCGACACTTTTTGGTTATTTCTATGAGTGTTGAAGTCCCACAACAGAAAGTTTTGAAAAAATAAAGGGGAAAACTATCAAATAAGCCCCCGTACTATACCGAAAAAGTCGATTAGGCCCTCGTACTTTACAAACACTCAATTAAGTCCTCGAACTATTAAAAAACGTTCAATTAAGACCTTTTGGTGGG